GTTGTATCCCTCGTACAAGTTCAGCGTTAGTTGAATAACAAAGATTTCCAAGCTAAGTAATACAGCAAACACTGGCCAAATATTTACCAAGCAGTTGAATCGCGTAAGTGCAACAAAGGAGGTCAGTAAACATTTAATTCCTCATGAGGAAAGAAAAAATATAACACAATACGTATGATTTATGCAGTATTTTATCCTCACAATACATAGTGTATGCTCTCAATGCAGTATTTACTCTAGTGATACAACGTTTAAGCTTTCTATGCAATATTTATTTACCCTCCGACAACTTAAACCGCTCAGGATAAGTAAACATGATCGCGTGCCACAAAAACTCAAACTGACGCTGACAGCCTAATTGGTAACAGCTGGAGATAGTTGTGTCAATAGCACATGTGATAATTACAGCTGATTCATAACACCTGTTTCCCGCGCGCGCCCTATCACCAGACAAACACACCGGCTCGCGCCGCACGGCCGTCTCTTGCCCTACAATCGACAACTGATAACCACGACTGGCGGAGATAAGATTTTGTGCACGCGTCAAGCCCCATTTCCTTTAAACATTTTGCCCCAACGATGTTGGGAACCAAGCTCAAGTTGATTTGAGCACAGCTCCCAACAACGTTGACGCACTGTTTCCATTCCAAGCAGTTCGTGCAGCATCAGCCAACCCCTCCTCACTCTCACTGCGAACACCGTCTTTGCCCTCTACACTACATCTACATCAGTGCACCCTACCACAGAAAACGTACTACTATAACCCAGAATGCCAACCGCATGGTAAAAAGCATTAAGCGTTTTGAGAGAGCTTTGCCTGTCAATCCGTAGGCAGCGCCACCAGCGTTGCTATGCTGAGTGTATGGCAACGCTGGTGGCGCTGCCTACGGATTGACAGGCAAAGCTCTCTCAAAACGCTTAATGCTTTTTACCATGCGGTTGGCATTCTGGGTTATAGTAGTACGTTTTCTGTGACCCTACATAATGGAGAGTGAAGAGACCGCTGCTTGATTTTGTTGTAATGGCTTGTGCATCTCACCAATTTATTAATTTAAAACTTAGAAAGCGACCGCGATAGTGGATTAAAAGTCTTTTTGCTTGGGGTTGTTAAAGGTGCCTACTCTAACAAAACTCCCTTATGAGATAGGCTATTTAAGGCTGCAGGCTGGATTTCAAAATTGTTTACGAATGACGGAAAGTGATTTAGAAGAGACTAATCACTGGTGGCTCCTCTAAACATGCACAATAAACAAATTCGCGTAGTTAACCCGTCTGCTAAAGGTACGATATGCTCGGGGCTATATGCTGCTAAAACTAATCACAGAGCAAGAGCGCATGCACGAGTTCTGCTCACAACGGTGTTGGCAGCAGGGCACCATTTCCAGGTTTTGAGCACAGCTCACAACGCTCATCCGGGCGACGATCTACACACGTTCAGTTTTGTTCAGAACGTGTATAGTAGGCCTCTGAGGAGAATCAAATTTGGTGTACTTTCCTCAGTGGGAGCCATGCGTTATCGGGTGAATACGAAATTAGGTAGCAAAAAGAAAACATAGAACATTAGCATGATCAATATCTCCACATCATAAAATGTGCCAACGTTCTGCTACTGCAGACCTACTGGGACAAATATTCTTTTGCAACACATGTGACCCAATGTGCAATAAACAAACCACACGTAGAACCGCCTTCGCCCTTCGGGTAATACTACAACAAACTCAGCTCCAGCCATCCAGCTGTGGCTGTGCTGTAGTTGGTTACGTAACGTGGCGGTAAGGTAAGGGGGTCACACGGCGCGGAGAACGGGCCAATAGGAGGCCACTACCTCTCGGAGACTAGAGTCTTGCACATTGAGAGCTTGGAAATCAGCTTCATAACCCTCGGTAGGCCAGAATATATACTTTGGTAGATATCACTTTTTAGAATTGAACTTTTTAGCGTTTCAAGATCAACTGAGTGTTTCTACTGGGGGATTGTTTATAGACGCAACGTCTTCAAGTCAGGATATATATAACTCGCGGAAGGAAATCACGGTGTGAGCGGATGTGGCGAATTTTAATCGGGCTTAAAGAAGTAACTAAACAACTACAACAGCTTAATGAATCACAGTTCTCAAACAACGAACAAATGGTCTGACTCATTAAAGCCCTTATTAATAGTGTGTGAGAATCGGACAAATTATGGCACCGGCCGCTCTGCATCCGTCGGGTCCGAGGATATAAAAATTAGCCGCCAATTATGTGAGGTGTAATCAGGGGAGGAAACGGAAGGGTGATAAGAACAAACGCTGGGAACTTGCGTAATGCATTCAAACTCCTGAGAACCGAGTGTGGGAGAGACCCTAGTACATCTCCGGGCCGCGGACGATGACTGGGGCTGGCCTTGGACAGTCCATCAGGCCACGGTCACCTCCGTAGAACATGTCACAAGTTCAGTCCGACAGCAGCAGTCTCGATATTGCATTGCGTGGGCTTATTCGTCGTAGGCTCAAGGCTGTCGCACGTTCAAGAGGTAGGATTGAGTCAAGGATAGAATGGTAACGGTGTCTAGTCTGTTTACCTACGCGGATCACACGACGTGAAACAGCTTCAGAGATTTGACATGACTGAATAAAACAATAAAAGCTAAATAAACCTAGTCTCACTAACTTGATGAATTGTAAAATTAGTTCAGCACAATAAAACTTCATATTACATAGGTCGAGGCGACTTGTATTATTCGAAATTACAAATTGGAAAGGACAGTTAGAAGAGCGGCAATTCTAATGATGAACACGTGTATGCCTACATATACACGTGTACATATATACATGCGTGGTGTTGAATCTCAAGTACTATAATGTCTCGCATGACGTGGCTACAACTTTAAAAAGGCAATTGAAGAGGGCGATTAGGAATCAATGCTGTACCACTTCTGTCCTACAAATGGCGACCAATCGTCACGGATTGAATTCGGCATCCAGCACTTTGGTGTAATCATCCTATCTCGACTCTGGCAACAATGGGCAAGATCAAATGATGACGGACAAACAAAACAGCTGAGTTAGCGAGAGTCAGCTGAGTCGGCGGACCGCGAAACAACGGCACAACCCGAGCAACGACCCGCTAAATCCTACGGAGGCTTCATCTACGGAGGCTACCGATTGCATGGTGGATTTATGTCAGACACTGCTTAAATTTGTAAATTGAAATCCTCACATAGTACGGTATTTTGAGTACTTTTATCAACACATTAGAACTCCAAGATCAACGAGTCCATGTAAATGCAAATTGAGACTTATCAATTATGTGTACTTCAGAATTAGCAAATACCCAGCCAATGAGCCAATCGTCAGTATATTTTAAACTTGTACTTTTACAACAAAATTTACAACAAGCCTCTTTAAAATGTATATGTTAAAAAGGTAATAACCGTTTTCATTTTGCTGTTGAATTTACATACCTCCAACATCTATGAAGTAACGTGTCAGTTCCTCACCCAACTACTGATTATAGTTTCCTAATGTCATGTCAAGGACGTACAATAAACTCTACGGAATCTAAAACACCTAGTTTCAAGTAGAATATTTGTTTAAACACAGGGTTGCTGAGCCTATCAATTCTCATAATTACAGAGGTAGGCCGTGAAATGCTCGCAGTGCAGACTGCAGGGTCCAGGCTGTGAGAAGCCAACGGTAACCCTATATTAGATCTGCGGAACCACATTCCGCCAGCATATCATCGCTCAACCACCACCTAACTTCATACTTCTGGTTTTGGCTTCGGTGTTTCATTTCTATTCAAATGTAAATAGCTTTGCATGCGGATAGTGTTGAAATGTTGTCACGGGACATTTCAAAATAAAATATACAGTAATATCCTTTTTCAATGTGCATTGATCGATCGTCATTCCTGAAGCAGGTGCTTATGATAATTATGAAAAAATACTCTATTTCAATTGGAATGATACTCAACATTTGACCATTTAAAAACGACTTAATCCGTACTAAGTACGTTTTGACGAAAAAGAGTTGACCTGTCCGGCAAGTTCTGAGTTCTCGAGTTAATTAGTGATCGTCATATCTCCTAGCTACATGCATGTTCTGCGCTCATTCTCGTGTCAAGATACTTGACTTCCCTTCGCCTGAATGGATGAAAGTAGGTGCTGCCACGCTTTCATCAATATAATTACTCAACCATTGTGTAGTCGAATCTATTTGCTTGATTACTTTCTATCACCTCGTACATTTCAACAACTTGTGGCTGAGTAATAAACAGCATTGAGTATACACAAGCTAATATGAAAATTGGAAAAGGTGTAAATTCGCTGGAACACCTACATTGAGAAAGATGAATTTGATCACAAGTTAGAAAATTAAACACAACAATTGTAATGTATACAAATTCATCAGATCATAAAAACTGCGGCCTCGGCGGCTGTTTCGTTTGTAAACAAACCATGACCAGAGAACGCCACAGTGGCGGTGGGCGCGGTCCTGGTCTCCGAGACTGCAGAGTGCTCCAGTTGGCGAGTGTCGGGGTCAGAGGTCACCATGTGGGGTAAGGGGGGAGGGGTTGCGTAAACCAGGGCAGTCACTGCCGCTTTCTAAAGTTGACGTTAAGACAAAATACTGCAACGGTATAAAGGTTTACGAAAAAGGTTTGGAAATAAAATTAAATGCAAAAATATTAAGGGACTAGACCTACTCATTTCTTTGATTTTTGTCACGTCTACGAACTACAGTAAAATGTTCTACCTCATTATACGTAATGAAAGGTTGAATATACACATTATTACACATGCACTACTGTCCGTCAATACCAAAATAAAAAGGATTTTGTGAATCGTCCAAGGTCACTCAATAAATACAGATCAACTAGACTCTAAAGGAACATTATTGATGAATAGAAATTGCAAATGCAGCAAAGTGTACTGTAAAGCTAAGTAAGACTGGCAAATGAGGAGGTACATTTCAGAGACACACACACACAGCCAACACCGCACTAGAAAGGGCAATTTACCTTGAGGGCGCAGAATATACAGGACTCGGCCATACATGAGTGGCCGGACAGCTCCCTGAAGCTGCGTCTGAAGATGTCCAAGTGCCATAACACCTGTAAAAACAACACAAGGTTAAAGATATTGGATGATAACTTGTTCATCTGGAGACTTCAACGCAGGGTCAAACTGAAGTCGTCCGGAACCCTCTATGAAGTAAACCATTGACTACATAACCACGAGAGTAAACCCAGTTATTAGGTATGCCGAACGGTTACTATGCATAAACATACATTATAATAGTGCAATTTTATTGACGCAACAGTGGTTGTACCTTATTTAAACATTAGAACACGAATAACAACGCGTTTTACTATTGATACTAATGTAGGTGCAATGTTTGTATTCCCATTAGTTTGCCTATGATATCCACAGCCAATTACATCATTTACTTTTATTGCTTAAATTATGAGTGTTTTACATCCACAATTACAGTACCAAGATTTATTATAACCATGAGGCGTGTTAAATTTGCTAGTAAACCAGCACCCTGAACACTCTTAAATCATATTTGAAGATAATCTGTGTTATTTACGACGACTTAAATGCAAGGGTAAACAGACGTCGTATTGCGTATTGCATAGTGAAAGCAATTGTGACTTGACACCAATACTCTTGAGCCAAATAAATATTTAAAGCTAAACCGTGTTCAGAGTTTGCAGCAGTTTTAAGCTGACACAAACCTTAGTTAGATAATCCATAATTGTTCCCACAAACCTCAAGGATTATAAAGGGCAATGGCATTGTCACTGAGCGAGGGGGGAAGAGCAAGGTGCAAGGATGTGTGCTGTGCACTAAACACGACACAATAGCCTTGGACACAAAAACTACCCTCCCTCGACCCACCTGCAGCACTACACACTACACCGTCTACCTGCTGTTGCTGCTAACATCGCCCACCCCACCACCCCTGCCAATCAGTTACATCTACGTCAAACTTTCCAACTAAGTGCTCTAGCTATTCTAAATTACTTCTTGGAAGCTACGAGGAAATATTAGGTCAACGCTAAGTATAAGTACCATTCGGCATATTGGTTAAGTTCTACCTGGTGATAGTAGGGCGAGGATAGTAAGTTTAATTTTATGAGGTGGTTTAGTATATTTTATACAGGACCTTCTCGTATGTGTTTCTTTTTTTCGAATTTGCCTCATAGTGGATAAAAAAGTCGTGGAATCTTCTATTGCTGGTACGATTAACGATACAATAAAATAAATAATGAACAGTATGGTACATAAATCAATTTTTGAAAATTATGCCCTTTATCATTTCAACTATTGTACAAATCATAAAAGTCAATTTTGTAAAATGAGTAACTCAGTAAAACGGGGCCTAGGAACCACTATCCATTTAACTGTAACGTAAACAAATTCTCTAAACAAAAATCTCCGCCCGTAAGTTAGGGGCCTATGTTTCGACTGAATTTAATATATTTGTCGCGTTAAATGTTTTCATTTTCATCTAAAACTCTTCCCATTTCCCACAATTTTATTCAATTAAAAGCAACAGATTGAAGTAGGTGTAACCTGGATTCAAAATGGCGCCGAACCAAGATGCTGAGCGACTTTCTCAAGAAAACACTATATTATCTTACCTTGGTTATTTGAAAGAGCGCCTTCTTTGACTTGCGAATATCCTTCATGATAAGTCCTAACACTAGACACACGTCTTAACACACATCATCGCACTTTTAATTGATAAAACCAAGAGTCAAAAAATAAACAAACGTAAACACATCTCCACGGGAGAACAACACCTTTGTTTATGAAACAGGACAGCAAGCAACACAGGTGAACGCCAGGTAAGCAGGCAGGAGTAGTAGTAGTAGGAGGGGGAAAGTGGCGGTCCGGACGGTGGCGCTGCGTGGTCGCCGTGGCGGAACCGTGAACTACGTCCCCCGCCCCGCCACACAACCGGTTCTCCATGGCGGGACTCGTTTTACTATGATTTTTACTCTACAATCACGAGATTACCTGGGCCCCCAAGGACCGGTTCGTATAATACACACCGCCCTGAAAACATCCGGCCGCGCGGTGCCGGTAAACACAGGCACGTGGTGTCAACAAACAGTAAATTATGCTAATACCAGGACCGGAGAGTAAAAACAACCTGTTCGAGTGACTGTGCATAAATCGGACAAATTCTATCTACGTGCGGTACTGTTATACTATCCAACGACCTAAATAAGAGTATTAAGTAAAAAAAATATATGCAACAAAATTAAAACAACGTGGTTGGCCTTTTCGGTAAACAAGTCTAATGATTCTAGTACATAGTATTGGTCTTTGGTCATCCATACTTTTACAGTAACCATCGCAAAAATTTGACATTAAGAAAAGCCTATTATATAGACAGATTAAATAATAATATGTAAACTATACGTAAATAATAATCGTAAATTTAATATGTTAACATTACTTGTGCATGATGAGGTTTGAAAAAGTATTGTTTTCAAGCAAAAAGATGTATTTATTGCTTAAAAGTGGCAAAACAATCAACTTTTATGATAAATTTAAAATATTGACCGTTGCCTATTTGCATCGGATGACGGACCAGTCAGTACGTCAAGTCAAGGGATTTTTGGTACATAAATAAGACGATGCAAGTGGGTTGAATAACTAATCTACATATATTTTAAAATAAATAAATAAAGAAGCATTAAATAGGAAAAATATAATTAAAAGTGTTTTCAATGTTACTTTAGTTCAAATTTTGTATCAATGATTATTGCTACTGTATATGGCACTGAGCGTATGGCTCAATATGTAAGAAAACACTTATGTAGGCCTATATTGTTTGTTAATGCTCATGTACACACGTGAATACTGCGTAAATTAATAACAACTACATCAAAAGGAAAGGAGTAAAGAGTAACCTATACAATACTGATCCTTAATCACTTCAACGTAAGGCCACGACCAGATTACATTAATTAGTAGATTGACATTGGCCCAGTTCTCACCTATAACACTTCCCCTATTGTCCACTATTTAATCCATTAGAAACTAAAACAATTAAAGATATTTGACAGCAAATCTGGGAGCAAACAAATAGCCAGTCAATTATTGACAATCTACTGTATATAGTGGTAGTAACCATGACTGGAACATTTCTGTTAAATAGCACATTTCACTACAAAGATCGAAGGTGATCCAATTTACAAACGGCTACGTCCAAATTCACCAACATTTTTGGGGTCGTTTCTAATGTCCAAATTCACCAACTTTCTACCTGGAGCAGGTACGATATTTCTCCCGGCGGGCGGGGAAGGAATTCCGAATAGTTTGCCCAATTTTTTTTTGTTTATGTTAATGCTAATGTTAAGGGATGTTCAAAATACACTTTCCAACTTTTACTTCACGTAACGAAGTTGAATTTTGCTAAATATAGCTTTTTAAATCATCATGTAGCCTTAGTTGCAAATTCAGGCTACGTCCAAATTCACGTCTCGGCGAGAGTGTACTGCTTAGCCCTAATAGTACTGTTTAAGCTGTGATTGTTTCAGGCAGCTTTAGGTTAGGTTTGGTTTGGTTAGGTTAGGTTAGGTTAGGTTAGGTTTGGTTAGGTTAGGTTAAGTTAGGTTAGGTTACAGTACACTCTCGCCGAGACGAGACGGAGCAGGCGATGGCAAACTATTCGGAGGGAATTCCTTCCCCGCCCGCCAAGAGAAATATCGTACCCGCTAAAGGTAGAAAGTTGGTGAATTTGGACATTAGAAACGACCCCAAAAATGTTGGTGAATTTGGACCTGGCCACTTACAAACAAGTAGTTTATAACATGAACTGTAAGATGTTTTCGTAAGAATTCTGTCACATTGCAAATTCTCGCACCGCGTTCTTTTATCAGTTAATTTTTAAAGCATGTAGCTTGTGGATGTTTTGACGGATACAATTATTACATTAATTGTTTGTGGATACACAAAAGATTAAGAGACATGTTACATATCGATAGATAATGTGCGATAAACTCCGAGAATTGTGTAAAATAGTTAGGTTGTGTTGAAAGAAAACGTCAGTTTAGTTATAGATTGCAAGCTTGCTGTATACAATGTCGGGTGTTTACGACTCCCACAGCGACGTAAAGCTCTGTTAAAGATCTGCCACCGGACGTAGGCTACTTTCTCACAGTAAAAATGGTTAATTTACGACAAGTAAAGGCATCATGCATCTGCAGTGGTGAAATTAACCAGTCATTACAGCTGTGGCTGAGGTGGAACAGAATGTGGCCAATCACAAGTGGAGGAGGATTGTGAATGTGAGAAATCAGAAATCCTTCCCCTCTTTGTACAGTTTAACATGTTATAGACCCTACATGTTGTATATAACATGTCGAGAAATGCGATGCAACTGGACACAAGGATAATGCTGATTACCCGAACCCCAAGACAAACATTAGTTATATCACAACACTTGCACAAGTCATGGGCAAAGCAAACGTTTGTCCTGGAAAATTATGAAGCCTTAAAGAAAAATCAAATGACTATCAATAGCGTATTTCATAGTATGGTAAAGGTTTGTGGTTTCGACATATTTTACAGTATATTCATCTACATAAGATGTAGTTGCCTCAGCATTTATTATAGGTCATTGGGAAATCAAACCTTCATAAATGAAGCGGTTTGTCCTTCAATGGAAATCAGATCACTCTTCATAGTACAGGTTTGATATTCACAAGATCTTACTGTTGTAACCATAATAGATGCAGAGGGTATTATTTACAGATTTGTATTCGATCATGTATAGATACTGTAATCATAAATGCGTATGAGCCTAATGGTTTCCCCACATCATTTCATGTGGTCTGAGGAGGTTCCGGCTCTGTATTTTAACATATAAACATAGACTTTGACTATTATATTTACACAGTACAAAATTCATATACTTGAACAAGATCCGTGTAAATTAATATTACAAATATGTCGCTTGGTCCAATGTACTGTACCCGTTGTTTCCTGTACCCCCAATACTAACGGTGCGAGTGTGTAAGTGGTTTCTCCAGACGAGTTTTGAACATGTTCCAGAGCCGGGCCCAAGGTTTGCCCGGACGGGTTTTGGAGT